GGAAGATTAAAGTAGATATGAAAGATAATTATGTGAATCGTAATGAACAAATCAAATTGCACCATACGATTTTTAAATTTAGCAAACCTCTTTCTTCTACAACGGTAAATAAGGGCTCTTCCTAATGCCAAAAGAAGTTCTTGAAGTGTTGAGATAAGTTTCAGTTGTATTCAAAGACTCAGATTGTTCGCTAGAAGAATCAACAGACAAAAGAGAGATTGTAATGCAAAAAAATCTTTTTTATTTAAAAACCAATTTATAAAATAATTTACATATTTTATGAATTAAATGCGCAAAAATTTTGTTACATGGAGTTAGTTTAGAGGGAGTGTTAGCATCTAAATTCTATTTGTACTAGTTGACCGAACATTGTTAATATCCTTTAACAACCAATNTAGTGATTTTCTATTTATTTTTATTTTTTTACGAAACGATAGAAAATATTATATAACAAAAACGCACAAATGTGCGAAGTACACAGCCCATGGCTGAATAATACAGCCAACAGCTGAATAAAACTGGGAGGACAGGTCTAAAAGACCGCCTAGAGACGACTAGCAACGCTAGAAAAGAAACTCACAATAACACAATACCAACGACCTAACTGCGGAACGACCCCCAACGAGGTAATGTGGAACGACCCCCAACGAGGTAATGTGGGACGACTCCAACGGAGTAATCCCTCGCACAGGGGCCAAGTAACCCAAACCTAAAATACAAGACCAGAGCAAAACCAATACAGACACAAAACAGACTAATCCAAACCAAAACACATATATAGATAACAAGAACACAAAAACACTAAACTAAATAATCTAATAGCCCTTCTGCAGCGAACGAGTAAGCCCGGACTAGAAGTGCACGATTGACACAAGTCCAATCCAGACCAAGCACCAGCTACCGAAACTGCAATTAAGCCTATACAGTAGCGGAACCCGAATCCCGAACCAGTCCCCAAATCAACCGATCGACAACCAAGAGGGCCAGCATCCATCCCACTCCGATTCCAACCGAACTCTTCTAACACCACTAGACGAGGCCGATAGAACCTCCCCCGTCGCCTAACACCACTAGTTGACGGGGATTTGAGCAAGAAGAGAGCAACCCTCCCCCCGACCGTCGCGACAAGGAGCGACGCGGCAGCCCAGGTCCCGCACCACCCAGCAAATCGGACACAGCACATCTCCACCGCAGATAACCAAAGACAAACGGCTCGGCCCCACCTCAAAAGGTGAAGCGCCACCGGCGAAAACCGAGTTCAACACTCGCAGACAAAGGGCGAATAAACGAGGGCTTATCGAAGCAAATCGCAGCTCCTCCGGGGACTGAAGAGAAGGAATCAATCTCCGACCTAGCTTCGACCACGGTTAGCACCACCGCCGTCCAACTCTCCATCTTTGACCATGAACCCGCCTCCCCGTCAATGGACCATCGGAAGCAGAAAAGGTGGCGCTCTTCGCCCGGGGGGCCGCGGACAGTTGAGGACGACCCCTAGCCGCACATTACCGTCGCCGAGGAAGACGGATTTGCCTAAAAATCGAGGGCTGAGAGATAGGTTTTTTCGGCGTCGAGAGAATTGGGGCTAGGTAAAGAAGAATTACCAATACCTTTGTTACTACAACTCAGTTGACATTAATTTTCATAATGACAAAACATTATAATATAAAAATAACAACCAACACGAATACTTTATTGTTGATGACATTATATGACGTGTCATCCAATAACTCTATAAAGAAAATAACATTATTACATAGCTACATAACAAGATTGAATATTCCTACAAAATAAAAAGTAAATGTTTTGAATCTTCTAAGTTTTCGGTATACAGACATATATCCATGGAATGTATCTTGTAAATAATTTCCTATGAAAATTTTATTTGTATGATGTTCAATGCTAAAAGAAACATTAAGATATTACTTCTTTATATGTTCCTTGTAATAAATATTCAACATTTTTGTGAAGTACCGTAATGTTGTAATAATATTATTATTAGTGAAAGTAATTAAAACTTATATGATATAGTTATTAATACTAGTAATCACCCGTGCGATGCACGGGGAAATTATTATCTATACGCTTTTTAGAATGCACTTTTGTATATAAATTATGTAATAATGCAATGATCATGATCATAAGAATAGACATATAAACATATAATTAAACTGAAAAGATCATATATTATTGAACACTTCCCTATATACAACATTATTGGTTTGATTCTTTGGCATGTCATCTTCACCACAAATTAAGATTTTTAAACATTTTCGATTAGTGACATGTGAGAAAACAACATATAACTGGTTATGACTGAACACTGGTTTATTAAGAAATAAGCAAACATGAGATAAGGATTGTCTCTGGCTCTTGTTTATAGTCATGGCGCAAGAAACCATAATGGGAAACTGCCGCTGTTGGAACTTGAAAGGAATTCTAACATCATAAGAAGTTATGGCCATTTTTGGAATCAACACCTTATCACCAGCATGATCTCCTGTGACTATCTTACACTCAAGAACATGACTGGATAGCTTTGTCACAACCAATCGTGTCCCATTACACAAACCCATAGAATGATCCATGTTCCGCAACAACATGACCGGAGTTCCAATTTTCAAATACAACTCATGGTTCGGTATTCTGGACTATTAAAAAACTCAGGCATGTGGAGATCAGACAAAAAATCATTATTAGAATCCGATTTGCATGTACTGTCAGAAATCAAGTACATACGACCATCCAACAAATTCAATGATGTCATGTACTCATTGATAGACTCGGCCACATCCAACGTCGGCGCTATAATTCAAATTACAAATCAACTCCTAATTTTTCAAAGAATTTAAAAAAAAGTTATCAATTGTAGTAAAATCTAAAATTTTAGGCGAGAACTTTTTTTCAACTTAAAGTAAATCCCTATTGTTATTTTATAGTATTAGATTGAATTTCCAAAAAAACTAAGTCAAAAGTTTTGACTCAAATTTTTTATCAAGTTTCTATAAATGATTTTTTAATCAACTCTTTCAATATATATATAGATATAGATATATAGATATATAAGTACATATATAGTACTCCCTCCTTTTTTTAATAAGTATCGTTTTGAAAAGTTGCACAGTAATTAAGAATTTTATTTTTGTAAATAATAACCCTCATTAATGAGGATAGAGATGGATGTTTTGATAAAAGATGAAGAATGAATATGAAAAGATGTAGTATATTTATTAGCTAGATTGGGGTAATAATGAAAAAATATGTACAAAAGATCCAAAACGTCATTTATTTGGTTAATTGTCAATAAAGTCAAAATGGCATTTAAAAAAAAAAAGGAGGCAGTATCTATTAATATATAAAAAAAAGGAGGCAGTATATATAATAATTGAAAACTTACCAAGAATGTTTAAATTACTTATAACGAAACTTGTTTTATATGGCTTGATATTACATTTACATTGATATATTTTGATCTCCTACAATCATGCTCCCTAAGTAACTAATAAATTAGATATCCTTGGTGTATATATTTCACATGTGACCTTTCAATTGGGAAAGAATCAATTGACATTATCCTCATCCACAATTCAACATCATCTTCCCGGTTTTTTTGTTAAGAAATTGATTCGAATATTACTTTTAAAATCTCATTTTTTTTACTCAAAATGCACGTGCTTTTTAACAAATTTTCTTAAATTAATAAGTCAAACAAATTAATTAATAAGTCAAACATTCTATTTAAGTATTTTTCCAACAACCTTTTTATATATATTAAAAAGAATCATTATTTACTCCTGAAAATGAAGCCGATTTTCCTACCAATAAACTGATTTTTTATCAAACAAATTGATCCGAATATTTTTTTAAACCAAATAAAAAATCATCAATTTTTTCTAAAAATGCAACCGAATTTTCCTAACACTGCACCAAATTTTTTACCAAACAAATTGAATTGAAAATAATTTTAATAAAAAATTGAAACAATTTGTTAATGTTTATGCAACTGTCTCTTTCCTAAAGAAAATGATATGAACTTAACAAAAAAAATAAAATAATATGAACTTACCAAAATCTCGGTAAAACATGGTTAAGAAAAAACATAAGAATCCAAAAAAATCGATGCATTTAAATTTTGAAAGTTGCACACAATTTTTCCTAATAAATTGGATAAGGTGAATTTAAATATCAAAGATGAATCACTTTTGTTACCAAAAATGTGGACACAATTTCGAATGTACATCCCGTCCAAATATCAGTTTTATTCTAAAATAAAAATTGCACGTGGTTTTATCCAATTTACACACTTTTTTTTAAGAGAAAAAATTATTCAATAAGATTGGAAAAATTCGTTAAGAATTATACAACTATTTGTTTCCTAAATTCGTATCCAATTTGTACGGTTTTTAAGTTAATTTGTATTTAGAATTGTTTTTATAAATAATTGACACATTTTTTGCATAATAATCTCCAAATTTGTTACCAAAATATATGATTTAAATTTTGGTAAAAAAAAAAAATATGATGCAAAAAAAAAATGGGATTCAAAATTTGCCATAAGAATCTTCAAATTAGTTACCAAAAAAATAGGATTCAGATTTTGTTACTAATGATTCACATGTATTTTTTCGAACTTTTCATTTATAGTAAGTCAATTGTTTTATTTATTAGGTCAAACTTTCTATTAATGTATTTTTCCAACAACCTTTTTATATATATATAGATATAGATATAGATAGCTAACACTTAAGCGGTACGCAATTAGATAGATAATCAGGTCCACTTAGGTAAATTAGATAAATCAGGTCCAGTGAGGTCCTGCTACAAGACTAATGGAGTGGAAGAATTAAATAGCGTTTATACTCTCTGTCCTGCTGTAATAATATAGACAGGGACTAATATATTATTATTATTATTATTATTATTATTTTTTATTTGATACTCAGTTCCATGCTTATATAAGTGGGTATTATACGTTTCCCCTACTATACTATAGACTTATAATAGTCATTATTACTTATTTTATCTTTTCTATATATTATATTTTATTTTATTCCTAGAGACATCTTTGGTCATCTCATTCTCATCTACCTCTCCATCTCCAATTCCAAAATACAGCGCCTAATTTCTGCAATAATAATCACCTAAAATCCTCGCACCGACAATCCACACACGCACGAAAGAGGGAAAACTTTTGTCCGATTCACAATATATTTTCTGTGATGTTTGGCATATAATAAGAAATGGGTCACCACCATAATAGCCACCTCCACCACCACAACCACCCCACGGCCACTGATGGAGGCGGCGGCCTGTCTCAGCGCGTCAGCAGCCCGAGATTCTCTGGCTCGATGACCCGCCGGGCACAATCCTTCAAGCGGAACAACAACGGAAATAGCAACCACAACAGCAGCGCCTCACAGAACGCTGCGCACAATAGCAGCAGCAACATCGGCGGCCATAACCACGAGGTCATTGACCTTCATATCACGTCGCCCAGATCTGAAACCCCGGTTTCCGGGGATGTGTCGGAGTCTTTGAGGCCGGCCCACGTCAGCAGCGTGGCCCAGAGGGTGCACTTGAGGAAAAAGATCGCATCGCTGAGTGTGGAGTTGGGAGACTTTGGGTTGGAGTTGAAAGGGAAAAAGAAACTGGGACAGTGGATGTTTTTCATGTTCTGTGGTGTGTGTTTGTTTATGGGTGTTTTCAAGATTTGCGCGACTGGTTGGTTCGGATCTGCCATTGATAGACTTGGAAGCAAACAGGTCAATCTCTATAAATTTTAGAGTTAGTTTTGTACTTGTTTAATGCCTTCTTTCTCTCTCTTATTTTCCTTCATTTGATTGCAATGTTTGGTGGCAAATAATATTTTCTTTGATTTGGTGCTGATTGCCATTAGAAGATAATCATGTAGCAGAATCTAAAGTGGCAGTCAGTTTGCTATATCATTTTCTTGAAATAGATATAATTTTGGTGTGGTCACTTTATGGGGCGTATAGTTTTTATATACTATGTTTTTGTTGTTTTGGGAATCAGTATGATTGATGAAGCTGTGTAAAAGGAAAGAGTAAAAGCTCAGTTAGGATCACAAGTTATACGAAAACAGTTTGCATCTACATTTGTAATTATTCATAACTAGTAGCTTCACCGGGCAGATCAGCTCATCACCCTTTGCAAGTTTCACTACAAATTTGTAACGGGATTGTTAGGCTGCCCGAGGAAGATATACAATATGGGAATGACTTTGTTTGTGGTTTCAGAACCATTTACAGAAATGGTGTGGACCCATGAATGGGGGAGAGACAAAAACTTTAGATATTGCCAATTGTTCTATTATTCTTCATGGAGATGCCTTTCCTGTCTTCTTGCCCCAATTTGGTATCACCCTTTCTCATGCTGGTAATTACGTCCACTAGAGAAGAACTGCTATTCTTTTGTTTTGATAGATATTATGAAATATTATAATTGGTTTGTGCTTTCCTGGTAAAATGCTAACTTTGCGAAAAAGATTTTTGAAACTGTTAACTGAATTTTACTAGCTAGTAAGTAATTAATATTTTGTGGATATTGTTGGAACAAACTGAGTCCACGTTGCTAAATTTTTACTTGGTTCCCAAGTTAACTATAAGGGTTAATTGTGACTTCTAATTGATATCTATTCTCTTTTTCTTCTATTATCTCTATGTATAAGCATAATCATGTTGCCCAAACTTATTTTCCCTTCTCCTTTTCTTTGACTCAACTAGGACATGTATGACTCCACTGCAAGTCATCTCCATGAGCAGGATGAAAGCTCTCATCACGTCACGTACATGGAAACTGGAAATAGTGATGGCAGGAGAGAAATTGAGGTGGAACAAACATTAACACTGGTGGCCTCGGATGTAGTTGATGCTCATGCCAGGGTGGCTCATGTAAATGTTTAGTGTTAATTATTATATCTTATTATATGTTAGGAGTGAACATTGAAGATAAAATTTACTCTGATACCATTTCTGAATCTTCTTTTTCCTTTTTGTAGCATCCAGAGATATGGTCCAATCCAAACACTGAGAATTTCACTCAGTGCCTTGATCGACCAAAAAGTCACAAAAGTGAGAGCTTTGTTGTTGAATTTTGTTATGTGCTTTCATGTTCTTTCTCTCACTGTTTTGCTATTAATTGTTTTGTCAGAGCTGGACTTGAAAACGAATGGTTACCTTCTGACAAATGCAAATGGTGGCTTAAACCAAATGAGATTTGGGGTCTGGTTGTCATTGATTTCGATTATATAATTTCTTTTTATGAAAATTCCCTATAAAGCTATCTGATGAACATATAATCTTAGAGTGCAGATCTGTGATATGGTCGCTGTTGCTAAAATTATGAAGGCCACACTTGTCCTTCCCTCGCTTGATCACACTTCTTACTGGGCTGATGAGAGGTAATCTTCTATTTAGGTCATCGAATGATTTAATTTACGTTCTACTTCTATATGTTGAAGATATTGGACAAAGTATTGCTGTCTGCTTGTCATGCTAAAATCACAACATTGAAGAGTTGCGAGAATAAAACTTTATTGGGCACCGTGTATTCTATAATGTGCAAACTGTGACACGTATTAAACAGTTATAGCTATTAGATATCTTATATGGCTTCATAACTTCAAAAGTCTGAAAATTCTATTTCATGATGTATCCAGTGGTTTCAAGGATCTGTTTGATTGGCGATACTTCATTGAGTCACTACAAGGTGATGTTAATGTAATTGACGAATTACCACCTGAATATGCTGGAATTGAACCTTTCCCGAAAACACCAATATCTTGGTCCAAGGTATGGTTCTTTTTAACCATTATTACTCGTGCAGTACAATCTGTTGATGTTTTCTGTAGATCCTGCTATAGATAATAGCAGACGAGGGATGTTGACTATAATCTAAAAATGATCTTCCAGTAAGAACTGGCAAAAAAAAGTTCTTTAATAAGATATAACAAACAAATGAACAAATATTTGCATTTCCTAATTAAAATAAGCCAAACAGCTAAAAATCTCCTCATGTTCAAGACTTTGCCTTTTTGGCTAAATAAATGTTTGTCATGGTCCTGGAAATTCAGCTCGAGAATTACTCAGCTATCCTTCTTGTAAATTGTGATATTTTATGTCCGTTTTCAAATAATATGGTTTTGGCATCTTGGCACTATTTTTCCTCTGATTTGATGACGAGTTCTCTGCACTTGAAAAAGGTGCATTTTCATAATTTGCATCAGTACCCTCATATTCCTGCTAGCGTGAAGACATGCTTTCCTTTGATTCAGGTTGGTTACTATAAAGCAGAGGTGCTTCCACTTTTGAAGCAGCATAAAGTGATGTATTTCACTCATACCGATTCCCGGCTCGCCAACAATGGACTTCCTGAGTCTATCCAGAAGTTAAGATGCTATGTAAACTACAGAGCATTGAAATATTCTGCCTCAATTGAAAACCTCGGAAAAACTTTGGTATCAAGAATGAGAGTTGATGGTGGTCCTTATCTTGCACTACATTTGAGGTTTGAACTGGTGAACCTATGACATCATGTTCCAATGTTCTATTGGTTACGAGTTACTGCTACAAGTTCAATTGCATGTTGTACAGATTTTATGTTTTGAAAAACAGCTAACATTCTACTTATATACTTTTACTGAAAACATAGGCATAGCAATATGGATTCCAAATGAGCTTGATAGTGATGTTTTTGTGCAGTTTTCTGTGAAAAAATCCATAAACTGCAACTCTTCGGTTTACTTGCATTTGATTATACTTTTTTTTTTTTTTNGATAAACCAGCAATCACCACAATCTTTCTTTCTTAAACTGTTAAACAACGCGGACAAACATACGGTGAACTTGTGCAGTTCGTTAAAATTCGAAGCAAATTTCAGGTTACCCATAACTTGCCAGCTTGGATAAGATTGTCTCTAAATGAACAAACACGCTTTCTTATATTGGTCAAAAAGAGTAATCACATTTTTCCCCTCCCCCATTTTGCTGTTTGTATACATATTCTTTTACTCTTGTGCAACACTTTATGAAAAATATTTTTTGGGCTTCAAGACTCATTTCCTCTTGTACTACAGGTATGAGAAGGACATGCTTGCCTTCACAGGCTGCAGCCACAATTTAACTGCCGAAGAAGATGACGAGCTCCGCCGAATGCGTTTAGAAGTCAGCCACTGGAAAGAAAAAGAAATCGATGGCACCGAAAAACGGAAGCTTGGGGGCTGCCCTTTGACCCCTCGTGAGACGGCCCTTTTGCTAAGAGGGCTCGGTTTTCCATCCGACACCAGGATTTATTTGGTTGCTGGAGAGGCATATGGTAATGGGAGTATGAGTTATCTTACTGAGAGTTATCCAAATATATTCACGCACTCGTCTCTGTCATCGGAGGAGGAGCTCAGCCCTTTCAAGAACCATCAGAACATGCTGGCGGGGCTCGATTACGCTATTGCCCTTGAGAGTGATGTTTTTGTGTACACGTATGATGGGAATATGGCCAAGGCAGTGCAGGGCCACAGGCGTTTTGAGGGTTTCAAGAAAACTATTAATCCCGACAGGTAATTTGCAGCTTTAATTTTGTGAGAGTTATTTGTTTCGTTGATACTTTCTTCTTGGTTTGGCATTCACACTATTCAAGAAATGGTGTTTAGTTTCCAGTTTCCCCCAATGTTTTTAAACTGTATGGTGTAATATTAATAATAATGATAAATCGTATTAATTAAAGCTAACATAGTAAAATGAAGGAAATCAGGGATAGCACGTGTTTAAGGGTCAACTACAATGGAGTTAGGCCGATATAGTGTAGGGTAATTATGAAAAACTATCTTGAACTTTAGACTCCTTAGTTATGATAAAAGTTGAGTTAACTTTGAAGATTATAAATCCTTTTTAGGGTGTAATAATTTGCAGCATAGAAAAGATGAGCTCAGTTTTCTTTTTTCTTTTTTTTTTTGCAATTAATTATGTTC